TCACAATAAAAAGATAAAATTGTGTTTGATTTTAATCCGTATGCACCCATATAATAACCAAAATTAATGTCAAAATAATTACTGTGCACTTAAGCTTTATTTCAATACTTGTTTTCTCCATTTTTGTTATCAAACCTTAAATTTTATTGGCATACATTTGTTCTCGGCTGTATTTAATGTAAAGTGCATGTTATTGACATACAAATTCCTAAAACTGGGGGGTAATGTGCATTTCCACGGAGGTTGTAAATGATCATTTCACGATAAACGAAAGAAAACAAAGCAATTCTCTGCTTCCTATCAATATGCATGAAACTTGTTTAATGTGCTTCAAGCAGGAAAAATTGCAATCATATGAAAATAACAGTTTACCACCAGCAAAGAAGATCCCAATATGAAAACAGGGATATTGGTTTTGTCCTTTTTTCTAGGTAATCCTTTTTTTGATATCAGAAAGATTTAAACGAAAAAACTTATCACATTTAGTTTGAAAGAAATCGTAATTGTTTATTTTTTATAGATTCTTATATAATATATAAGATATATTATTTAGTTTATAAGATATCTTATTTAATATATAAGATATCTTATTTAGTTTATAAGATATCTTATTTGATATATAAGATATCTTATTTAATATATAAGATATCATATTTAATATATAAGATATCTTATTTACTATATAGGATATTTATTTAAAATGAAATATATCTTTATAAGTCTATTTAATTAAGTTTATAAGATATTTTATTTAGTATATAGGATATTTTATATTAAAGAAAGTGGGGGCTAAATTGAACTGACCTTGTATGGTCGTCCAACTTATTTTCGTCACATTTTTATCAATGCTTGCATACCAAATGCAAATAAGTGCATCAGGCAATTGAATGCTTCTAATATATATATAGTCTTTTATGGATTTCTAAAACTGTCACCTGTCAGATCAAATCAGGTAAAAGTTTTTACTTAAATCCCAAGTTTAACTTAAATTTCTTTCAAGAGGTTGTTAATAGGTGAAAGTTTGGGTTAACATTTCCATCTACTTTAATATGCCTCCATCGTCTGTTCAAATATACATGGAAATCTGTGTTTCAGTTAGATTTGAATAGGACAAGGAATCAAAAAGATAAAAAATTGTATTGCTAATCTTATTTCAATCTGTTTTCGGTTAATCTAGAAATTAAAATTTACAAAATTATTAAAAATATTTTATGAAATTCCAGCATGATACAGAAATTAGGGTATGTTTCAAATTTTTTAAAGCAGTCACTTTTGCTGGCATGGTCATATTTGATCTACATTTTTTATAAACATACTTTTAATGGTTAACATACCTTCTTTCATTCTATCCAAATATGACAAAAACTGTTTTTGTTAGCATATTTTTATTATATTTTGATGGTGTTTTTCGTTACGATCCTTCCATGATTATCACTTGCATCAAAGTCAACAGATTTTATGTACAGTAACTGTTTTTTGAGATATGTCATATTTCAAATAGCTTGGAAAAAATGTAAAATCACAAAAATACCGAACTCCGAGGAAAATTCAAAACGGAAAGTCCCTAATCAAATGGCAAAATCAAAAGCTCAAACACATCAAACATAAACTATACAAGACATCTCATAAACCATACTTTAGGACTCCAAAAAATCATATTTATTCTGATTGTAAAGTTCATATACACTTTTTAATACAGCTAACGTGTCTGTAGCGCGATTATTCTCAAGGCCCACTAATTCAGGTTGCAGATTGTCATTTCTAATACTCCTATCTGCTTTCTGGATAACATCACGAATATTTATTAATAACTGACTCTTCTCATCTGCCATTTAGAAAGTGCGATCACATGATCTATTTACTGCCGCGTAGTTCTAGAAGGAGCGTTCATTGTTGAATTTATTTACTTAAGTTATTTTGAATAAGATATCTTATATAGTTAATAAGATATCTAATAAACTTAATCAGATATCTTATGAACTAAATAAAATATCTGATAAATCAATCATATAAAATATCTTGTATAACTTATAAAATATCTAATAAAGTAAATAAGATATCTTACATACAAGATATCTAATTAAGTTAATAAGATATCTTATAAAATAAATAAGATATCTTATTAACTTCAAATTAAATAAGATATCTTATAAACATTATAATATATCTTATATACTTTATAAGATATCTTATTAACTTGAAAAGATATCTTGAAATTGAATAAATATAAAAACGGCTTGCCATATATGTTACAGTTAAATTTTATAAGTCAATGTTAATCAACGCAGTCCCTATATTACAACTAATTACTAAGTTATAATAGTACATCATTGCCTGAAGTTATTTAGATCCTTAGAACTATACGTTAACCAATTCGATCAATAATGAAGAATTTCCATGATTTCTTCAAATTTAATGATTTAATTAGCAACTCATAATCATTTGCCAATAAAAATGACATTCCGTAAGTCTCGGATTACAGTTTAGTTGCTTAATTGTGTATAAATGTAGTTATACCAAAAACATGTGCTATTAAAATAAAATCAACAAACTAGGGAAGATTAACTATATGGAAAAATCATAATGAGTTCATGCATGTACGAAGAAAGTCTTATCTGAACATGATGTTAAAATAGGCTATCCAGAATCTGATGAACATCAAATATTTATATTAGTTCCAATAGCTGCAGTACCTGTGTTCACAATTTCGCCGAATACGCTAAGATTATCTTCTTTGTCTTCTGGCGTATCTTCATCTCCTGAATTTGTCTGTTGAAATGAGCTGGTGCTACGAGCCGCATTTTCCAAATCCATGTGGAAGTCGTGGCCTAAAACAGGGTTTTCGTCTTCTTTTGTATTTTGTTTGTCCTCTTCCACTGTAATCATTACGGAATCGCTTTCATTGCTTACAGTAAAAGAGTCTGTAGATTTCCCGTTTTCCTCTTGTATATGCTTCGAGGTAACCATGCTGATTAATTTTGAACTCTTTGCAGCGTTTGGTTTTGCAACATTTAGATTTTCCGTCTTGTTTTCCTTTGCCTTATTTTTAGGACCCGATTGAGCTTTTACAACTATTTCTTTCCATTTTTCTTTAAGGGTATTCTTTTTCTGTAATATTTTACCTGCTTTTTCCTCTGATGAAAGTGTATTTACCGGCTTTTTACCAAAGTGAAATAAATTCAATTCTACGCCAAAAGCATCTCCTTTCGTTCGTTGTCCAGTAGGCAAATTAGATTGTTCTTCAATATCAATGTTAGAGGAACGATTTGATATTTCACGCCATGCGTTATGAACAGTTTCCTGAGGAGCTTTACGATATTTCCCTGTCCATACAGGTATGTGTACGACTTCATTCTTATACAAGTCCTTAAATTCTATACTCTTTCCCACAGGCTTAATTTCAGTATTATCTATGTCAGATAGAACAGTAGCATCATCGTCATCTGATGCCAGTGTTGGTTCTCTACTGATTAATACTGCCGTTTCAGTCCTTTCTGGTAATATTATATCACCGTCTAGGAAAAACATGGTAATAACAAGCGTGGTAATGGCAAGTATTGTCATAAATGATATCGGCATCATGGAAACAATAATTGCTCTGTAGAACCATTCTGTATAAGAATAAGAAATACTTTAATTTGATACATCCAAGATAAATTAAGGTATAATTATACATGTATGTTCATACATTCAGTGTCGTTCTGAACTTATTCATCCTAATAAATGTTTTTGTTATCTCTATTTCCCACAATTTTAATTTGATACTTCCATAAATAAATATATACATGAAATTAGTACCTGGAGGGATATAGGGAGCTTCTACTTTTTCTTCTGTTAGCCTCAATATTAAGTAACTGGTAGTAGACCCATAATCATCCTGACAGCATATGAATATTCTGTATGAGTCTATGTCATTGTATGCAAATGCTGGTTCACCAACAGTCCATATTGAATATACTGGAAACACAAAATTAAAGTAGATTTTACAATATACATAAAGTAGATTTTACACCTGTATAATTGACTTCAAAATAGTGTTTTAAAAAGGTTTTTTTCTTCTTTCTTTCGTGAATTCTATCTAGGTAAATTGCTTTTTCTATCTTAAAAATACTTAAAACTTGCCGCAAACACAAATATTAGTTCAGTATGCAGTAGATAACAACAACTCTATCCAGTTGTCACTGTCGCTGTCAATATTTTGATGTAAACTAGTCAAGTGATATTTTGCTAAAGGGCACTTTATAACGGACTTAAATGCACCCTAGCAATGGTTTTATATCATAACAAAAATCCATTTTATATAATGGGTTTCTTGATACATCTATGACACCCACCGAAACAAAGATTAAAAAGTGAACTTTTCCCAACAATTCCTCTTTCAGACGTACATTAGTTAAAGTATTGGACAAAAGAAGTATGCATATGCATTAATATGATCGGTTATGACATTGTTGACTGGAAAACTAAACAAACCAAGACACCTGCCAACAGTCCATTATTGGTCACTATTTGTGATAAAGATTTCGCATTTCTGTAACACTTTTAAATGACTAAGGTCATATCAGGCTCATTTGGTAGCTTTAATCACTAAGTTTGGATTTTTCCCCCATTGCTTTGCCTTTATTGTCTAAGATTCTTGATAAGTTGTTTTTTTACTATCCAATTAGGAACGTCTGTACTTGTTTACTACTACTGACTTAAACACATATGTTTATAAAAATATAACTATATTATCATTCTTTTAATAGGAGTTATGTTACACACGGTCACAATGGTTCCTAATTGGAATGACATAAGATTGTTTTAATTATCATACTAGGCGTTGTACATAAGCAGAAATAAGACCACGGCTGTCCTAGACGGTTTTCATACAGGAATTCTAATATTATTGTTATGCCTAATATTAATTGATGGTCATTACATTTTGTTGTTTAATATACTATCACAGACATATATATTTCATCTTACATTATCCATAAATGAGATACTTTTCTATATTTTTACATACCGCCATTTTCTTCTTTAAACTGAAAGTTATAACTGTTAGGTAGTGTGTATGATAAGGTACAGCATAATGGATCGTATGTTGCATCTGTTACATTGATTGTGTATAGAAATATTGTAGATTTTGTTGACTCGCTGATCTCGTGGATAGATGGCAAGTTGTTAATAATAGGTGGCTACAATTAGATATGTGTTAACAGTCATGATTCTACTTCGTCAAATTCATCTCCTCATTACGCGACCTAATTTTTTCAATTTTAGAAAATGGAAGCCTATGTAGGGATGACGCGCTGTCAATTTAGCCCAGGGGGATTTTTTGATAGTTGAAAAAACAAAAAAATATTTTATTTAGATATTTCGTGGAAGGGCAAACTAAAAACTTTCAGAGGTTGATGACTTATTACTCGTAATAACACACAAACAAACAAAAAAGTTATGCATAAAAAAATCCACAAGTAAAATCTATGCTCAAAGACTTTCAGTTAAAAAAAATAAAGCGGTGTTAGGAAATGGTCCGACTTTTCTGTGTTTACTAGTACGGCTCATGAATAAAATAATTAATATGCCTAAATATTAAATGAAAAATAAGTAAACGAAAATAAAATAGAATACTAGTAAGAAATACACCTCAAATTTTAACATTTGTAGTAACACGAAGCTTCTTTTATTTTGTACTCGTTAGAAAAGGTATTTCACTCTTAATGCTTTAAAACGACCAATCTTTTATCTTTCTGTGGAATTTTGTTCGGTGGAATTTATGCTTATGCACAAAAAAGATCCACATGTATTTGCACCTCCTATAATCGACGGTTTTGCGAAAATTTATCTTTAATTTGAAAGTTTACAAATATCTCGATACTCCATACTATAAATGAAGTATAAACACTTATATAAGATGCGAAAAATCTTTCATTATGGTCCTAAATTAAACTTTTAAAGCCCACAGAACAGATATAAACAATTAAAATATACCAAACTTGGCCATTTTTACCTTCTCTAATAAATAGTTTCATTTGTTTTGTTTAATTTCAACTGGATATCAACCTGGGTGTGATGTCTTTAAAATGGGAAATTATTTGATGTTCAATGTAAACTAAAATCTTCCTTACCGCGTTATAGGAGGCTACAGTAACAGTTGCCGTTGCCGTATGTTGGCATGAATCAGTTCCTGTCACAGTGATTACATAAGTCAGACCACCACCGCTTGGTAGTTTCGTCTGCAAGTTCAAAGTAACTGCAATAAAAAAAATGTTTTCATGTGAATTTGTCGAAGATATGTATAAACTCTTTATCACTATGTTTGTTAGAGATATAATGTCAAGGAAAAGAGAGGCAAAAGATATCAAAGGGATATTCAAACTCATAAGTCGGACAAAAACTGACAATGCCATTGCAATACTAAATACGAAAAACGACCGAAAGACAAACACCAGTCTACAAAACCGGGGGGAGTCTCAGGGCTTCGGAAGGGTAAGATGCTCATATAAGTACAAACCCTGAACATGCCTGAAATGTTTCCCTCGGGACGTTAGGCAGTCAACAATCAATCATACAAACCCGGTGATTAGTCTAATTCGGTTGGTCAAATTTGAGGAAAAGAGGACGGGATTGAGGTTGCGACCATTGGAACATATATGTCGTCATCTGTGACAAAAATGTTCCATAACGGTCGAAATTGGAAGGAGCATAATGCAAGTCAAATCAATACATCTGTTTGAGTGTACAAAGGTCACTTAGTACATGAAAAAGAGGCAATAGTAGTTAATCTTTAGATAAAATCTCGCAAATCCGTTAACAAGACACAAATCAAGGGAAAAAAAACAAGTTAGGGAATAACATGAAATCCAAAAGGAGCGAGATTTAGTTAGGGGTATAATTATCAAAGTGTTGTGTGGAACTTAAATGGAGAGTAGAGATCGTTCGTTTTTGTCTCTGTGGATAATGTTTTATATTTAACATGATGATTACAGGTTTCAAGAATTAGGGTACTGTATCAAGTGATTAATTATAGTACACAAATGAGGGTAGGGGAATGAGCCGTTATATAACAGTTATACTGTTGATTCATTTATTTTCGTGGGTACCAATTTTCGTGGATTAAGGAAAACTTGCACTTTCGTGGATATTTGATTTCGTGGTTTTCCAAAAGTCTGCATATATTCATAAAGCAAATTTGTAATTCGTTGAATAATTCAATTCGTGGTTTCGCTGTACTCACGAAATCCACGAAAATTGGTATCCAACGAATAATAATGAATCCACAGTATACAAATACCATTTTCGGCCAATGTCAATTTTCCTGTCAAATATCGCAGTAGTGAAAACAAATTGTTATTAGGAATATAGATTGATTAATTGTCGATTTCATAAAATAATTATGGAATCAGTCGAGAATTATGTCAGGCAATGGACAAAAAAATGCTTCACTGAAGAGACTTTAGTTGTCGAAATACTTATCTTGTGCAATAAAATTAGTACCGTTAATGTAATTAGTTACTATGTTCAATGCATCTATCCCATCGAACTTGAAATAAAGGATACCAAAGATACAGGTAAGTCTACCTCATATCATGACTTATAAAAATTGACAATGAAGGTACGTTGAGAACAAAATATTTGGCCAAAAGGGATAACTTCAGCTTCCCATTTGTGAAATTTTCATTTCTATGGAACAGCAGCGCCTGAGTATATGTATATCTTCCAGTTGATACGATATTCCAGAACTTATGTTTCATATCATGATTTCCTTGATAGAAGTTGCTGATTACAAGGAAGCTATTGAACCAAGAGGGAAAGTTATAATCATCCCTTCGAAAAATTTTGAGACTCCGTCTTGAGTAAGTCGACCGTTATGGAATTAATGTGTCACAGATTATTGCGAATATGTTCTCTTTGTCGTAACAATAAAATTGCATGAGCAACACGACGGTGTCACATGTCAAGCAGGAAATGCATACACTTCGTGAGCAATTGAGTTCACCCCGGTTTTTGGTGCGGTTCGCGTTTTAAAGTCTCTAGTTTTCTATGTAGTATTTTGTGGATTTTTTCGTCTCTCATCGTTTTTCACTTTTTACCAAGATATCTGTTTTTTTTCTTCGATTTATAAGTTTTCAATATCCCCTTAGTATCTTTTGTCTCTTTATTTCTTCATAATAGTAGATCATTTGGAAGGAATGGCCGAAATATTGCTAGTTGTATACAAATGTGTATTTAGTATCTGTAAAACGTTTGCCCAGGAATATTCGATTACGGATCCCTCAAATTAGTAAGTAGCAAGCGTTATCAACATTAAAATTTTCCCAACAAGGAGCATAAGATTTAATTTGGAAAGGAACGTTGCTGTGAATAAGTATAGCCCGTGCAACCAAAGGAACAAACTCCTTCTCATAGAAACATTGGTCTTACTGTATGACGGTAATAGTCCGTGTAATCATAAATCTTTTCCACAATAAAACTTGGATTGAATTTTTATAATATCCCAAAAAGTTCACTGAAGGAGTGTACAATTATCAAGAACAATAAAATTAGCTCATTTGCGGATTCAACCAAAAACAGTATAAGTCAAAGACGTAAAAATAGTGTTCTAAGACCCACCTATGACAGAAATATTCATATTCTAAAGTTTGTCGAGTGATGTTCATGTCTATTTAACGATGGCTTGGTTAATAGCGGATTTTTCGATATGTTTGTTGGTGGTTCAAATAATGTATTATCATCTGTCACAACGAGTTATATGAAAAAGTAAAACAAAACTACCGAACTTTGAGGCAAATTCAAAATGGGAAGTCTGACATGTTCCTGACTTGGTACAGGCATTTGCCGAAAAAAATGATGGATTAAAACCGGTTTTATTGCTAGCTAAACCTCCCGCTTGTATGACAGTTGTGTGTGAAACCATTAAATATTATAATTAACATTATGGGATTTTTTTTAATTTTTTGCGCTTGAATCTAAACAAAACCTGTGTAACCATAGCGATCAATATCAATAAGCATTAAGGACAAGAATCAACAGATATGTGAATATTTTGCGACTGTCCTTTGCTTTCTACTTTACTCTATGTTTATCAATCTGTTTAAAAACATATAAATGTGTACCTTTTTCATTTTTTATTTCACTCATTGTAAACAATTCATGTTGACCTGTTAAAGTCCAAGTTATGTTATCGTTAACATCGGTGTCTGTTACATCAAAATATAAAACTTTATATCCAACTGGTGTATTCTCTTCAAGTTCTGTTTCATTTTGTATTGGACTAAGAACTAACTCTGTGTCTGAATAAATAAATCAATACTACAAACAGATTTCAAGAGCATTTTTTTAAGATTGTAAACTGTCAATTGTAAGGTGTACCCTGAAAAGTCATAGACGATTAAACGTCTATTTTCACTAGTGGAGCAGTATATGTTGAATCATCCAGGTGACCAAAGTTCAGCGTGATTTTTAATATGATTCGTGTTGATCAAACTTCAGATTTTTTTGTGTTCTTCTTGTATGTCAGTTGGTCTTTTTTTATTTTGGCAATGGTAATGTCTTTGTTCTACTTATGATTTTTGACTTTTTTTCTTTTTTTCAAATACTGGATTTCATCAATATATGCCATGCGAGTAATATACATTCCTTATGGTATCTAGTTTCCTCACCAGAGATAGATAAATATCTTATTCACTATAATTTAAAATTGATACTTCAGATTAAACTGATTTTCGGTCGTAAATTCTGAATTATGTGAAGCAATGTTTCCTCTTGATTTGTAGGATTGAATAAAATATCGCGTGAAAATATTGTATATTGTTTAGTGTTTTGCCAAGAACTGATTCGTTTTCGACTTATGAGTTTGACTATTCTTTGAATTGGTACCTTCCGCTTTCTTTTATTCGAGAGTGTATGATTTTCGGAATTTTGGTTCCTCAATGATCTTTGACTCCGTACTTTTTTGGTGTTTTTAACTTTTTTTATTCGAGTTTCAATGTTGAGTCCATTGTAGACGAAACGCGCGTCTGGCGTACAAAATGTTAATCCTTGTATATATGATGAGTTGTTTTGAAGACTTGGCCGAAAAAAAGCATTCAAATAATCAATTACTTTTTAAACTGACTTACAAGATGTCAATGGTAATGTGATGCACAATATGCACACTTAGACAATGTGGTTCATAGCAGTGGTGATCGAACTAAAAATATTAAAAATAAGCGAAATGTTTTACACTTTTTGCTCACGGAATTTTATTAATGAAATTTACTGTTTGCTGTTGATAACTTGACTGAATATCCCCTGTTTGGTACAGTTTCCGCTGCAGAGAAGTCTATGTCATCATCAGCAGTGAATGAAGCATCTGGCATGTGTATTTTTTTACTTTGTTGTGGACAATCTGATCGTGTGACTGTATCACAATCCTCATAGCTTATGATGTTAGACCCACTGGAGTACCTTGAAAAAGAAGTTATCTTTGGAAACCGTTGATATTGCAAAACTAATAAAGCAATATACATATGATGAAGTTCTGCTAAGTTAATCGGTACGTAGTTAAAAAGATTATACATTCTTAAGGCATCTACGTTAAAGCGTTTATTCTTAACAGAAAAATACTTAAAGAAAAACCTGAAGTAAAAGAACAAAGCCAAAAGGTCTTTATTTTAACCTAGTCAGATCCAATCTAAAATCAGCATTTCAATCTCCCATATAAACATTCAAACACAGATATGTTTACTGTTTGCTTCAAACAGTGTGTATGGACTCAAAGGTATAATATACCATTTTTCATCAAATTGGCTTTTGAGAGCATTTTGATGCTTGTTTTTCTTCTAGAAAACATTAGACTGTACCGTGAACACAAATTGTTTTATAGACAGATGATATGGGTGAGATATGCATCCCAACAAAAATTATGTTAGACCTAGCATTTGCCAAAATGTCAAGTATTATTCAAATGACAGTTCTTGGATGACTAACTCGTCACTTGCAATTCTCATTGAATTATTTTAAAACTGGCATATGCATTACAGCAGATCAAGAAATACGTCAATGAGATAGCAATAAAACAATCTAAGTATGTATGTTGGCTCTCAATAATGACGACTTCAGTATGTACATTAAAGAGATTTATCCTGCTGAACTGACTTTAAATAAAGCTGATACTAAAAATGAACACTGCCCTTTCCTGGATCTTCATATGTATATTTTTAATTGAAAGATTAACTAAGATTTACAATATGATTTTTCATTTCCTATTGTTAATTATCCATTTCAGATGGTGACGTTCCCTTGGCACAATCCTATGGTGTTTATATATTTCAACTTGTTCGATTCGCTCGTGTATGTAACAACGTATTTGATTTTAACGAAAGAAATCTCTGTACTACTGAACATTATTAAACCAGGGTTTCGATATCACAAACTCGTCAAAACATTTACTAAAGTTTACCATCGGTACAAGGACAGCATTCGTAAATATAAATCAACGTACAGACATCTTATACGTTCAGGTATTTCACATCCCACCTTTTATGATAATTTATTATACAAAACACAAAAATGTCGTCATTCATATCAAAAGCTAATAAAACCTTTAAACCGACTTATTCAGAAGGGATATAGTTACGATACTGTTGTCAGGTCATTAAAGATGACATTTTTGGATTTAATATTGATTCACTCATAGGGTCTTTGCATCATAAATAAACAAATTTATTTTGAAACCAGTTGTTGACATGATACGGGTTATGTTCTACTCGAACATTTTATGATGGTATGATACTAAACCCTTAACGGGAAAGATTGTGCTTGATTTTCATATGATGAAGACATAATCTTTTAAACAGTTAAATTTAGGTCTGGAGCTGGCATGCCAGTGACTGCTAGTAGTCCTTTGTTAATTTATGTTGATTATTGTCATTTTGCTTAGTTTCTTCTGTTACCTATTTTAACATCAGACTCTGATTTCTTTTGAACCGAATTTTACTGTGCGTATTGCTGTATGTTTGTTTATTCCACATTGGCAAGAGGTAAAGTTGGAGGGTTGAGATCTCACAAAACATGTTTAACCCCGCCTCATTTTTGCGCCTGTTCTAAGTCAGGAACCTCTGGCCTTTGCTAGTCTTGTATGTTTTTCTAATATTGGTTCATTTATATGTTTTGGCGTTAAGTGGGACGTCCATTTTCGCTGAACTAGTATACTGTAAGGTACTGGGGAATGTTATACTGAAACAAATAGGTATTAAATTGTGCGGTGTAATTTATAAGTAAATACTTAATTTGTGGCAAGACTGACACATATTTTATAATGATTTTTTTACAATTGTGGCAGTAATCCACTATACTTATTACTATGATCACAAGTCAAAATTCAAGTTTTTACCAAATATTATCTTTTAAACTTAACGGTTGTGTTCTTACGCATAGTAACTTGGCTTGCAGCGAGCTAGAGAAACATTTTACATTTGAAATCAAAGATATGGCATTAATTTACTATTTTTTTATGGATTTCACAGGCCAAAGTTTCACTTTTTGCCAATAAATTACAGGGGGAGGCATTTCATTAGCTAAAACATAGTTTTACAAGTAAGGTGTGTACATATGTTGGTACAAAGGTGATATATATCCAGTAAAGCAACTGATTTTATGTGAAAGCTCTGGAATTTGAAATGATTTTATCATTGTTTACATTTTTTGTGTACAAGTGTTACGGCAGGGAATGTATGTAATTACTCATGGATTACCTTCTTCATGCTATATATCATGTAATTCCCGTATTAAGGATCATTTCTGGTAACCAAATATTCATATTTAAACGTCTGATATGCCTGGTATACATAGGGAAATACTTTAACTGCAATTGTTTACTGACCGGCGATTTTGCCGTCTGCCATTTTGTGGGGAATGAAACGTTGATTTTATCTCTTTTGATACAAATTCGTCCCCTGGACAATTGATCTAATATTGCATTTTTAATACCACACATTTAATATTTTATAAGTATACCCTGCCGGACACAAATATATTGTAAATATTTAGATGGTTGTAATGAACTATGTTATATGTTATTTACTTTGTATGTTCTTACGCAGATCGTCTGCTAAATCAATGCGCGCGCAGTGGTGTCCGATTGTTTATTTCAAGCTTCTTTATCGATATTTTAGATGCTATAGCTTTGTTTTAATATTTTATGTATAAGGACAATCATAGGACAACTCAAGATGATTTCAATTCTATGTTTTTCAATATCGTAATTTTGTATAGTTCCGGCTACCCGGAAAGGACAAGTAACCATTGGATTAGTATGTCACGTGACACTTACAATTTAGTATATAAACGCGTGAGCATTCAGTAATGGCAGATAGCCCAAAGTTTTGCTGGCGGCAAGTTTGAACCTAGAAAACAATAAATTTCCAAATAAAGCAGTAATAACCTTTAGGTGAGAATTAGGATAACATAATGAAGTTTAAATAGCCGTCTTTTGTACAGTAAGCTATCTCCCACCACGTCGGACACCACAAATATGTATTTTAGGATTTATTATTCAGTACACTTGAACGCTATTGTTTATTTATATAAAATCATATAATGATTTTTTTAACAGTTCAGCAAATAAAACTGTTAGCATTGAAAAGATCACTTTATTTTATCAAACTTGGATACATTCAAAAAGTATTTGCATTTACACTGGTAAAACAACTTGAGCTGGAGGACGCTCGTTCGAAATTAAAAACTATGGAAAGCCGTTAGCAACACAAATAGCACAGTAACAAATAAATACAAAGGAAGCCGTTTAATACACATACATTAACCAAACAGAGGAACTATATTTAAACACAAACTGAGGTGCTCCGGGGAGCAGATACTGCATTTTATGAGTGTTCGTATGTAAACTGCCCAGTATAGGACAGGATACTCTCGGGTGGCTTACAATTTGGTGTCAGAAGCGGGATGCTAAAATTCTAATTAGCATCCAGGATACGAACCTTGGAATAACCTGTCAACTTAACAATGTGGTTTAAGCCCGACGTGGTGGATTTACTGTACAAAAATTAATTATAACTAAAAAAATATGAAACAACAAATAAAATTAAAAGTCTTTATTTAGAATATGGCTGATGCTGGTAGGAACTCCCCAGACCCTGAAATAAATTTCCGTAGGGAAAGGGATTTAGATGACTTAGGACAAGGGGATCAAATACATACTGATGACAATGACGACTTTGATAGGGAATCTATTTTACAAGGTCATGGTGATGAAATAGCTCAGAGACCTAAAGGACGGGATGAATATCAGAGACATGATTTTGATGATAGGAATGAAAGGGGTAATCATAACATGCAACCAATTGGCCCACCAAAGGTAACACTTAAACCTGAACCCTTCTCTGGGAAGGATTGTTGGGAGGAATACTTGTCGCATTTTGAGGACTGCGCTGAATTGGGACAATGGGGAAATCGTACAAAACTGTTGTTTTTGGCAGCTAGCTTGAGGGGTCAAGCAAGGACATACTACATGAGCTTGTCTCCTGACGACAGGCGCACATACCAAATGCTAACACAAAAGTTAGATCAAAGGTTTGGGAGTTCAAAACACAAAAATCGTTGGCTCTCAAAGTTAGAGATGCGCAGGCGCATGCCAGGGGAAAGCATAGCTGAAGTGGGGGATGACATAAGGCAATTAGCGCAAAAGGCGTACTATGACCTTGACTTAGCAGCGCAGGAGTCTCTAGCATTAAACCAGTTGTTTAAGGTAATACCTGTAGAAATGAAATGTCGCTGTATTGACAAGGAATGTCAAACAATAGCAGACGCTGTTGATGTTATAGAAAGATATGAGTCAATACTCGGGGATGGAGACAAAAAGAAATCAACAATCAGAGCTGTGGAGTCGAAGGACATCGAAGGACACATGAGTGAAAAGGATTATCAGAGCAATTTGCAGGCTTTACAAGATAGGATAGCAAAGCTGGAACAAGGACACGGGAATCGGGATACAAAGAGGGCAAATACTGGCAGGTGTTACAGTTGCAACTCACCAGACCATTTTATGAGGAACTGTCCACACAAAAACAACCAAAGAGCAAGAGGGAACTTCCAGGGCAACCAAAGACACAATACCTCTTTTAATAATAACCAGGGAAACGACAGAACGCTGGCTCAATAGGTCGTGAGTTAGTGACAGAAGATAAAAGGCCTGATATAAAGGGAGAAAAACATGTCCGGACAGGACATATAGGGGAAACAGATGATAATTGGGATAATGGGTTTTATACAAATGGGTTAATCTATGGGTTTCCTGTCAACTTTTTAATTGACAGTGGCTCAACAGCGTCAATATTATCTATTGAGGTTTACGAAAAATTGCCTTTAAATGTTTGGTGTTCTTTAGTGCCAAACAAGTCCGAAGTATTTGACGTTAATGGCAACAAAGTTTTTGCTATTGGATCAATCACATTAGAACTAAAGCTTGGTCTAGAAAATTTCAGTCAAAATTTTATGGTATGTAATATAAATCAGGATGGAATACTTGGACAGGATTTCTTACTTAAGGAAGTAAGTAAAGTTAATTATCAGCGAATGGTCTTACACACGATCCACAACCAGGAAATACAATGTTGGATTGGAGGGAAGGCAAATATGATTTGCAGAGTAGAAATTAAAGACAACATGACAATTCCTCCAATGACGAGTACTATGATGCCTGTAGACATACCGGGTGTAAATCATTTAACAGAATACGGATTAATAGAGGGCACGACAGGAACAGCAAAGTCTACATTAGCAATACCTGGGATAATAAATACAAAAGATCAAGCACACTTTGTTAATGTTGTCAACTATGGTGACGACGAAGTTAAACTGTATAAAAAGGAAACAATAGGAACATGTGAATCATATACTGAGCATGATTTGAAATCAGAGCAGATTAGAACACTACAAGAAGATTGCTTTACAGCTGGTGAAGAAATACCAGAACATCTTATTGACTTATTAAAAAGGAGTTCAACTTATTTAAATGAAAACCAAAGACAACAGCTTTCCAGACTCCTTTCACAGTACCAAAATGTCTTTTCACGGACAGATGATGACATAGGGAGGACAGACCTTGTAACACATAGAATAAATACAGGAAATGCAATACCCTTTAGGTAAAGATCTAGACGTATGCCACTTGGAAAGCAAGAGATGGAAAAATCAGAAGTCAACCGGATGTTGGACAAAGGAATCATTGAACCATCTTCTAGTCCTTGGGCATCGAATATTGTCCTTGTAATGAAGAAAAATGGCAGGCCTAGGTGCTGTGTTGATTACAGAATTTTGAATGACGTCACTAAAAAGGATTCCTACCCGATTCCGAGGGTAGACGAGTGCCTAGACTCGCTCGCTGGGGGGAAATTCTTCGGGTCAATGGACCTAAATTCAGGATTTTGGCAAATTGGCATGGCTCCCGACGACAAGGTAAAGACCGCATTTCTGACAAGTTTAGGGTTATATCAATTCACTGTCATGCCCTTTGGACTTGCAAATTCCCCATCTACTTTTGAGCGTCTTATGGAAAATGTTCTCAGAGGGCTACAGTGGAAAGAACTATTACTCTATATGGACGATATCATATCAGTAAGTTCAATATTTGAAGAGGGTCTTGGAAGGTTAGAAAGAATCTTTATACGCCTACAAAATGCACATCTAAAATTGAAACCTGCCAAATGCATTTTCTTTCAAAAACAAGTCAGGTTCCTTGGACATATCGTGTCTGAGGATGGAATTTCCACCGATCTAGAGAAAACAAAAGCTATAGATGACTGGCCAATCCCCAAATCTGCAAAACAGGTGCGCAGCTTTTTAGGACTTTGTTCTTACTATAGGCGATTTGTTAAGGGATTTGCAGCAATTGCAAGACCAATGCACAAAATTTGCGAAAAGAATAGCCGTTTTGCTTGGAATGACGAGTGTCAAAAGGCATTTGAACAGTTGAAAAATGCTTTAACAAGTACACCTGTGCTTGCCTACCCTCTTCCAAATTTGCCATTCATACTTGACACAGATGCAAGTGATAAGGCTGTCGGGGCAGTTTTGTCACAAATTCAAGAGGGTCTTGAACGAGTTATTGCATACATGAGCAAATCTATGAACATACATGAGCAGGCATACTGTGTAACTCGAAAAGAGCTACTTGCTGTAATTATAGCACTAAAGACATTTCATCATTATTTATATGGCCAGAAAGTTTTGCTGCGCACAGATAACGCAGCTGTATCATGGATGAAAAATCTAAAGAAACCCACTGGTCAAACAGCCAGATGGCTCGGAGAACTGGGAACTTACAATTTGACAGTGACACACAGGGCTGGAAGAAAACACTCAAATGCCGATGCTCTGTCCAGAAGACCTTGTAAATCATGCGAGAAACAAGAATCTGGAAACCACACAAGTGACGACGAAACAGACGAAATTCAACTTGAAGAATCTGATTTTGTTAACCAGGAGTTACATGAAAATGAGGAGCCAACACCAAGAATAGAAATAGTACGAATATGTACAAGAAGTCAGACAGGAAATCAGTCTAGTGCTACACCAAGTGGCTATTGCATAGAAGGATGGGACCCTGACAGTATTAGACAATGCCAATTGGAAGACCCAGACATGTCACTCATTGTGACATATCTTCAAGAAAAGAAAAATAAACCTGACTGGGACCAAGTATCAAAAGGAACATCATACCAGAAAATAATATGGCGACAATGGGATAGGCTGACAATAAACAATGGCATGCTTTATAGAAAATTTTATTGTTCTGATAAAGACGATGTAGACAACTTCAAATTGCAGCTCCTGGTACCAAAATCACACCAAAAGACAGTCTTTAAGTATTTCCATGACGTTCCATCTGCAGGTCATTTAGGACCAGATAAAATGCTAAGTAGGATCCAGCAGCTCTTTTACTGGCCAGCTATGAGAAGCTCAATAACAAGGTACTGCAAAGAATGTGACCAATGTGCTGCTAGGAAATCACTTAAACGAAACAAGGCTCCATTAGGTCAATACTTGGTTGGCGAGCCTATGGAACGTGTTGCGATTGATATTCTTGGTCCACTTCCGTTAACAAAACGACAAAACCGTTATGTTCTTGTCCTTTGTGACTGCTTTTCTAAATGGACTGAAGCATATGCTATTCCGGACCAGGAATCCCTGACCATTGCCCGGACCATCGCGAATGAATTTATTTGTAGGTTTGGTTCACCATTACAGCTTCACTCTGATCAAGGAAGGTCTTTTGAAGCAAAGCTGTTCCAAGATCTGTGTGATCTCCTGAAAATTGACAAAACTAGAAGTACAAGTCAACACCCCCAATCTAATGGAAGCGTTGAAAGATTTAACAGGACACTGCTAAGCATGCTAACATTTTATTGTCAAAATGATCAGAGAAACTGGGATGAGATTTTGCCACAGGTTATGATGGCATACAGATCATCAGTCCACGCCAGCACAGGACAGACCCCTAACATGATGATGTTTGGCAGAAACATATTTCTTCCTATGGAAGCTGTTATTCCACGTCCTGATGGACCAGATGAATCCACTACCCCTGAAACGGATAAATATATAAATGAATTACAGGACGCTATGTTAAAGTCACATGTACTGGCTAGGAAACATCTTAAGCAGAATTCTGAGTATCAAAAACGTCACTATGACTTGAAAGCAGTAAAGCGCGAATTACAAATAGGTCAAGCTGTATGGCTTTATGATGCATCAAAGAGAAAAGGAATTTGTCATAAGTTGACACTAAAATGGAAAGGACCATATGTTGTCACAAGGAAAATTGATGACATCACTTACCTTGTGAAAAGGTCAAAGAAACAGCCAGGGAAGGTCTACCACATCGATAGACTACTGCCCTATCAAGGACGAAATCCGCCCACTTGGTTCTCCAATAGGAAGGCCTGAGATGCCTTTCATAGTTGTTGTTTGAATAGCCGAAATTAGTTGTACAAGTTGTTACGTTTTTAATTGTTTTGATGAGTTACTATGTTTAAGAGTAACTGTATGACTTATCTCAGACTGGAGAAAGTCATGTTGGAATTCCTAGAGTTGGATCCACTCTGGAAGAATATGTAAGGGAGACAAATGGCCATTGTTTCTCAGGACATATTATTGGCTGTAAGGGAAGGATGATCCTTCCTGCCAGGGGAATGGCAGATTAAACTGTACTGCCAAGCATATTATTTTATGCGCAAGCTGCGCGGCGGAATGCAATTAACGACAACTTTTTGTCTTGAGGAGGCTTGAGATTTTTTTTAATAGGGAGACCAAGGGGGTGGATATCATATTTTTTATTGAAATGTTGGCTGATCCATTTACTACCAGCATATGCCATATGGGGGGAGGATTTTAAAACACATAAGCAAATATAGTCACACAACAGCACACTACATACATATCTTTTATTGTATATGTTATATAAATGGTGGAGGGATTTTAAAGATTTGATTCGATTTCAGAATGAGACCATCATCACAAGTGGAGGTGAAGTGTTGGCTGTGTCCCATGACGTTTAGGACAAGGAGACAACTAAAGAACAATCTGGCAGCTGCCCCACACAAACGGCTTTCAGTCGTTTGTGTTTGGTGTCCTAAAGAGAAGTCGTACAGGAGGATGGTTGACCTGAAGGAGCACATCATGGCCAACCACCGCAGCAAAATAGAGATCATGCCGTACAGTTTCTTGAGTGAGCACAATGGGTTTTGGATGTCGAATTACCCAGAGACATATGCAAAGGTAATCTCACCATCAAATGAAAACTCCCAAGAGGCCATGAAAGCCAGGATTGAGGTCCTAGAATTCCTAAACAGGGTTGGAAACACCAACAGGAAGAAGGAGGATTGGACTCAAGGCTGGAAGTGTCGTAGGGAAATGGTTAGAGGTACGCAGGAGGAAGAGGTTGAGCAGGAGAAAACCAATGGGTCATATTCACCAACACGCCCCACCATTTATGAAGGGCTGGCCCTCCAGCAACTTACATTAGGACTTGGGGATTCGACAGCCATCTTCAAATTAGACCTTGGAGTGTCTATACGATTCTATCAGATAAGTTTGAATGACTTGGTTCTAAGAGATCACAAAATGCTTGATGCTTTAATAAGGAGGATGACGGCACTGGTAAACACCAAGTATGCAGGATCACATACCTTCTCAGCCTCGATAGACGGTAAATTAAAGTCTATAGTGACGCCGGTAGTAGCTAGGAAACTATCCATATCAGAGGAATATATAGCAGACATAAAAACGTCCGATGAACTCTTCCCAGGGAAACAGACAAAAGCCATCACAAATCCGTTATCACCACTTAAAACACCATCAACCTCAGATATTATATTGGAAGATGACAGTGACAATGAAGAACCAGAGATTCTGAACGAGAAAGCAACAAGCCAGAAGAAAAGTAAGAAGACAGAGAATGAAGGAGAGAAAAATGGAGAGAAAAGAAAGAAAAAGAATAACCACCAGGAACAGAAGGCTAAGAAAATAAAGCAAGGAAAGGGTGACAAGGAACAGGACGAGGAAATCAGACTTAAAGAGGAAGAACTAAGGAAGCAGGAAAAACAAAAACAGGATGAGGAAATGAGACTACAGGAGGAAGAACAAAAGAGAAGGGAAGAACAGAAACAGGAGGAAATTAGACTGAAGGAGGAAGAACAAAAGAAGCAGGTAAAACGAAAACAGGACGAGGAAGTCAGACTAAAGGAGGCAGAACTAAAGAGAAAGGAAAAACAGAAACAGGAGGAGGAAATCAGACGGAAGGAAGAAGAACAAAGGAAGCAGGAAAAACAAAAACAGGATGAGGAAATGAGACTAAAGGAGGAAGAACAAAAGAGAAGGGAAGAACAGAAACAGGAGGAAATTAGACTGAAGGAGGAAGAACAAAAGAGAAAGGAAAAACAGAAACAGGAGGAGGAAATCAGACGGAAGGAGGAAGAACAAAGGAAGCAGGAAAAACAGAAACAGGACGAAGAAGAAAGGTTGAAGGAGGAAAAGAGGATACAAGAAGAAAAACACAATGAAGAAAGTAAAAGAAAGGAACTGGAAGCATCAGAAGATCGGGGCACAGATTGTACAACTCTAAACGGCAACATTACCGCAAGTGAACGGGCAAGGACACTTCTGAGGAAAGGTGGCATGCCACTTTTCCCAGCTGGGAGAAGGGAGTGGAATCAAGAAGAAGTCATCCCACTGATTACCATCCCAGCAGTTGTTAGTTGGCCACCTAAAAATTGGAAAAAGATGACTCCAGAGCAAAAGTATTTTAATTGGGAGTATGCCAGTATAGCTCTGGAGTTGAACTCGGGAAAGCAATTACAATTCACAAAGGAAGAGTTGCTACTCAAGTATCACTTTTTAGCATTACCAGGCACAAAAACACCGACAGGAAGTGAAGAAAACACAATGGCAACCAAATCTCGGTTTTATTTATATCAAGCTTTGGCTTATATAATAAAGAGTGACAAAGAAGACACATCAACTGTACAAACATTAAAGATGTTAGAAACTGCAGTGAAGGAGAGAGATAACTCCACAGACGATGTGATAAAGAGAATAGATGCTCTTGATATTCCCTTGAGACTCGGAGAAGACATTGAACACTAACATTTTAGATCTCAAACTTCATAATAATTATGTGCTAAAATTTTCAATTCAGGAGAATTCATTGTCTTTAAAGGTGGGGGAAGTGTAAGGTACTGGGGAATGTTATACTGAAACAAATAGGTATTAAATTGTGCGGTGTAATTTATAAGTAAATACTTAATTTGTGGCAAGACTGACACATATTTTATAATGATTTTTTTACAATTGTGGCAGTAATCCACTATACTTATTACTATGATCACAAGTCAAAATTCAAGTTTTTACCAAATATTATCTTTTAAACTTAACGGTTGTGTTCTTACGCATAGTAACTTGGCTTGCAGCGAGCTAGAGAAACATTTTACATTTGAAATCAAAGATATGGCATTAATTTACTATTTTTTTATGGATTTCACAGGCCAAAGTTTCACTTTTTGCCAATAAATTACAGGGGGAGGCATTTCATTAGCTAAAACATAGTTTTACAAGTAAGGTGTGTACATATGTTGGTACAAAGGTGATATATATCCAGTAAAGCAACTGATTTTATGTGAAAGCTCTGGAATTTGAAATGATTTTATCATTGTTTACATTTTTTGTGTACAAGTGTTACGGCAGGGAATGTATGTAATTACTCATGGATTACCTTCTTCATGCTATATATCATGTAATTCCCGTATTAAGGATCATTTCTGGTAACCAAATATTCATATTTAAACGTCTGATATGCCTGGTATACATAGGGAAATACTTTAACTGCAATTGTTTACTGACCGGCGATTTTGCCGTCTGCCATTTTGTGGGGAATGAAACGTTGATTTTATCTCTTTTGATACAAATTCGTCCCCTGGACAATTGATCTAATATTGCATTTTTAATACCACACATTTAATATTTTATAAGTATACCCTGCCGGACACAAATATATTGTAAATATTTAGATGGTTGTAATGAACTATGTTATATGTTATTTACTTTGTATGTTCTTACGCAGATCGTCTGCTAAATCAATGCGCGCGCAGTGGTGTCCGATTGTTTATTTCAAGCTTCTTTATCGATATTTTAGATGCTATAGCTTTGTTTTAATATTTTATGTATAAGGACAATCATAGGACAACTCAAGATGATTTCAATTCTATGTTTTTCAATATCGTAATTTTGTATAGTTCCGGCTACCCGGAAAGGACAAGTAACCATTGGATTAGTATGTCACGTGACACTTACAATTTAGTATATAAACGCGTGAGCATTCAGTAATGGCAGATAGCCCAAAGTTTTGCTGGCGGCAAGTTTGAACCTAGAAAACAATAAATTTCCAAATAAAGCAGTAATAACCTTTAGGTGAGAATTAGGATAACATAATGAAGTTTAAATAGCCGTCTTTTGTACAGCAAGCTATCTCCCACCACGTCGGACACCACAAATATGTATTTTAGGATTTATTATTCAGTACACTTGAACGCTATTGTTTATTTATATAAAATCATATAATGTTATATGATTTTTTTAACAGTTCAGCAAATAAAACTGTTAGCATTGAAAAGATCACTTTATTTTATCAAACTTGGATACATTCAAAAAGTATTTGCATTTACACTGGTAAAACAACTTGAGCTGGAGGACCCTCTTTCGAAATTAAAAACTATGGAAAGCCGTTAGCAACACAAATAGCACAGTAACAAATAAATACAAAGGAAGCCGTTTAATACACATACATTAACCAAACAGAGGAACTATATTTAAACACAAACTGAGGTGCTCCGGGGAGCAGATACTGCATTTTATGAGTGTTCGTATGTAAACTGCCCAGTATAGGACAGGATACTCTCGGGTGGCTTACAATACATTATTGTTTAAGGGCCAGCTGAAGCCCGCCTCCGGGAACGGGATTAACAAAGATACCGATCTCTAAGTGAAATTCAAAACGATAAGTCCTTTTTAAACGGCAAAATCAAAAGCTCAAACACATCAAACGAATAGAAAACAACTGTCATATTCCTGACTTGGTACAGGCAAATTTAAATTATCTTTATTACTTTAAACCTGTTTGTATCAAATGCATCCGATTCCAGAGCTGATTTCTATTTTTGTATCTATGTAATGTATATTTACCATCCTATAACATCTCCTGCAACTATTGCTATCCTTTCTGTCGCTATCAAGGAAAACGTAACTAACGTGTCAACATATTCGTCTGGAAAATATATAACAAGAATATAATGTTAGTCAATTGGTACCAAAGCAAATTACCTTTTGGACTGCACTTGTTGTCTCTTGTTTTCTCATTCTTTGTTTTGGGGTTGATTTTATGACTTTAGGCTATTCAGCTTACAATTACTTACAATTACAGCTTGTTTTCATTTTATTGGTACTCTACAGTTATATACTAAAAGTTGAGTTAAACCTCAGTGCAACTGTAAGATATCGCCTTTTTTCCATAATGTATCTGCTTATCAGAAATAACCATACTGATAAAAAAATCAATCGTTTAGTTAACAGACATGCATTTTTTCTTTGCATGGAAGGCATCATCTTGAGGTGAACTAATTTTAAGTCATCTAAAATATGTTATATATGAAAAAGTATAAGTTGAAATTGGTCTTTGGGCTTTAGGCTTTCAGCAAGCAACTGTAAGTATTTCAGACCGGTAATGATGTATGTTTCGTCATTTTGTTAGTACTTTTTGTGCCTAGTACAGACGTGATTAGTCTAGACCATTTCGACTGAATTTTACAACTTGTTCGATTGTTATATTATTACACCACTATCCGAGGTTATGGTGACGGTTCGTTGCTCACAAATATGTTTCCCTTGTCTCATTCTATAACTTCTGGTTAAAAACCAAGATCTTGTAATATACTAATAGCATGTATGCAATAATTGTTTTTCGTTTATTTGTTTTAATATAATTGCGGCCGTTTCGTATTCCTTTAGATAGGTTCACATTTTGACTTCACTGGACCTGTTATAGTTTACTATATGGTATGGATATTGTCCTTTGATGTAGCACGGTGATCTGCGGTTGTCATGTAGTCTCTTGTGGACATTTGTCTTATAGGCAAACAAATAACATATCTTCTTGAATATGTACATTTTTTTTATTGTTTTCCTGATTAAAAGACATTTTAAGAAAATTCAAAATTAAACCAATATTATTAAACACCCAATTTTTTATTGACGCTTAATTAAACAACCTGGAACTATAATTCTTGTAGATCCAATCAGCCGATAATTAGTTTCAGACGATTTCCGGAAAATCATCATCTCTACTATTCCAAAGTCCTTTGCAAAAAATTCCCACGAAGACGTCGCACCACAACAAGTCACTTGGAATGGACTGTCTATCATAAGGTAGAGATATCCTATATTTATAAAAGAAAGGTAGTGCAAATTCGAAACATATTATTTCTGTGTAGGTACATCAAAATAATGATTACAAAGGAACAAACCTTTGATATACACGGAAACCTAACTGAAAATTTCTTTTATCATGAAGGTCATTTTATCTATCAATATATAATAAGGTTTATAAAGATGTTCTGATTTATCACGTAAATATTTGTTTTCAATATTGGAATGGCATCTAATTTTTTATTTGAATGTAAAATACTTCAAGATTTCAGTGTGATTGTATATTCAGTTGATTTTAAAAATAAGAAGATGTGGTATAATTGCCAATGAGACAACTCTCCACCAGAGACATATGTAGACAGCTCTCTCACAAGCAAAAAAAACCCAACAGTAAAATATAAGGGTAAGCATACAATAGAGTACATTACTGGTTTGATAAAATTCGAGACTTCCTCTGCCGGTAAGCGGCCACCGTCAACTGGTTGACTATTCTCCAACATTTTAGAATTTATATTTATACTCTAATGTCGTTGTAACAATAGTAGCAAGTTAATTTGTCTTTTAATTATCAAAGTTCTCCTGAACTTAAAAAAAGGATGTTTGAAGCGTAAATTCTAATTACTGTGAAATATGATAATATGAAGAAACCGTGATCTTCTGGTATTAATAAAACGGGGGACCTTCACTGAGATAGCTGTGGCAGTGGAGTACTTGTTAACAGCTTGTGCAATAATGTTGTTGAATAAAAATAAAGAAATATGATAACGACACATACTAAGCATGTAACGAATGATGTTTTTGTTAGACTCTGGATTTTTTTAGTTGATAGGTATGCCAACATTTTCTCGTCAAATTCATTTTCTTGAGTTAATTCGCCACAAAGACTTAAAATGAACAAACCCTATGGACGATTCTAAACAGAGAAAATGTGAAAACAATTCCTTCATTTATCAATAAGATTTTTTTCAGTACACTAATTGTAACTGTTTATCTACGAGCTTTTAGTTACCTGCGCTAGAATCAGTGTTGCTTCCCAGATTAGCAGGGTCGTCATAGGCGAAGAAAGAAGCTGCACAAACTGAAAGATGAATACGAGACGTTATTTTTTGTTCCGCTTGGTATTATTGATAAACAGATAAAGGACATATAATGGGGAAACGAAAATTTAGACAACTAGTGGTACATGAATAAATGTGTATTACTAAGTTGACTTGGCCTGCATATATTAGCACATATTTACTGTACATAATTTTATTTAGATATACAGTCTGTCGTGTTACTCATGTTAGTACAAACCCGGTAAGTCTAATTCGGTAGGTCACAATCTGGGAAAAGGGGACGGGATTGTAGTTACGACATTTGGAACATATCCGCCATCATCTGTGAAACGGATATTCCAGAACTTTGTGTGTAAATACAAATTATCTCTTTGAACATATCTCTTTGAACATATTAAACAAACCTGCATAATTTTTTGATTGGTTGCACATGGGTTTCGTTTTAACAGATTATTGCGGTAAAATCAGCGGCAAAAGATCACAACGACCACACTTGGTGGTTGTAATGGATGCATAATTGCAATTTCAGATAAGGACCATCTTTGCAAAATCTTCTAGAATTACTGTGACTTGACTATAGGGGTTGCTGTTTAACTTTACCTATTGTTCAACCAGATTGTAAAATTGACAATACAATGGGGACATTTAAATTGACCAGTTAGTTTTTTTAAGTTGAGTCTACCTTGATGCCACCTGTACAGTTTTTTGTTCACCTAACCCAACCTTACAGCAAGCTTTTTTTTCTGAAGTTTTTCTTCAACTATGATTATTCTATTAAAATATTGACAGGGGAGAAAACATATTTGGTTTTCATTGTTTTGAATCCCCAATATTGATAATTTATCTAAATTTTACCAATCAATCTAAATCAGTAAAAGATTTTATTGATTGCATGTTAATATGTATGAAAATTAAATCTGTTTTACATAATGAATGATTCTTTAAATTTTTAACCCTTATACATAGTATTGTCCAGTTGTCAGTGAAACATGAAATGGCTATTCAGGTGTTTTCAGTTTCAATTTTCAGATCGATATGTTGTGCATTTCTTCATATATCCCTTCAAGATTTTCATTTTGGATTATTATTAGGAATACTTGAAATCTGTTGGAATCAATGTGAATAAAATATTGGATTTATTTTATTTGAATTCACTTCTAAAAGAGGGACGAAAGATACCAGAGGGACAGTCAAACTCATAGATCTAAGATGCCTTTTTACAGTAATTTTGCTTCTTAAAATGTGACTTGTTTTTTCCAAGAATGGATTGTCATGAAGGTATCAAGGAGGAAATAATTCCTTCAAAATGTTTTATGTGGCTTTCACATGATGATGTACATGTAAAATTCCAAATAATTTCGGAGTATACCTTGCAGTGTTTTTCTTTTAAATCTATTGTAATAGGACTTTTGTGCATAAAATACTGTGTTCACTCAAGGAAATTTAATTTTCATAAGATTGGATTTAGTTATCTAAAAGGTTAAAAAAAATCAAAATTGGAATGCAAGTAGGAATTATACTAAATTTCAGGATATATTATAAGAGTGATTCACCTGTTTAAATGGGATATATATCATGGAAATGAAATAAAATGTTAAATTAATATAGTGGATATAGTTTAATCTAGTGATAAAGTGAAAAGTAAAAGTAAAATATTCCAAAATGTTCCTAACGTGAGGATAACGTGAATGTAAAATTTGAAATAATCGTTATAAAATTCTGGATCAAATATTGTTTATTTGGGGCATATATCTTGGGAAATGAAATAAAAACTGAATACTGTGGATATAGTGAAATCAAGTGATATAGTGAAAAATATGAATAAAATATATCAAAATATTTGCAAAGTGAGGATAATTATTTTGAATATGATAATGGAAACGATAAAAAATTGCAAAATTCTGGATCTAATATAAAGATTTTGCACCTGCTAATTTAGGAAATATATCATGGGAAATAAAACCCGAACTCCAAAGAAACTTCAAAACGGAAAGTCATATATCAAATGTCAAAATCAAAAGCTCAAACACATCAAACGAATTGATAACAACTGTCATATTCCTGACTTGGTACAGACATTTCTTTTTGTGGAAAATAGTGGATTAAACCTGGTTCTATAGCTAGCTAAACCTCTCACTTGTATGACAGTCACATATAATTCCATTACATTGACAACAATGTATGAGCAAAACAAACATACATATTTACATATTGTATTTATATTGTGTCATAGATTAAATTTATTCGTTCAGTGTATGTTTACATGTTTTTGTTGATATTTCTTTTTGATCGAGTTAAGCCATTTCAATTGATATTTCATAGTGTGTCTTTCTATGTTGTTATGTTATACTACTGTTTCAGGTTAGAGTGAAGGTTGGCGCCTGTTAAAACGTTTATAACCCGCTGCATTTGTTTGAACCTGTCCTAAGTCAGGAACCTGTTGTTCAGTGGTAGTCGTTTGTTGGTGTGGTTCATAAGTGTTTGTCGTTTGTCGTTTTTTTTTTACAGATTAGACCGTTGTTTTCCTGTTTGAATTGTTTTACACAAGTCATTTTGGATCCCTATATAGCTTGCTGTTCGTTGTGAGGCAAGGCTACGTGTTGAAGGCCGTACTTTGACCTATAATGGTTTAATTTTTACACATTGTGACTTGGATGGAGAGTTGTTTCATTGGCACTCATATCACATCTTCTTATTTATATAATAAATAAAAAAGTAAAAAATTGGGGGTACAACAGTCAACATTGTGTTATAATCTTAATAACTATAAAACTAAATAACTATTTCAACAAAGAAAAACAATAAAGCACACATCAAATATGGCTATTTAATAATGAGAAAATGCAAATCATCGACTTTAAGCATGCATTTACGGTGGTGGATTTAATGTATGCACCTTACAATATGATATTACAATATTCTAAATAGATACCCGTTGTTCCCGCCGGCTCATTATGAATTTCCTCATTCAAGGTTTGATCATATTTAATTTTGTATTTTTGTATCATTGCCTCTTTTTGGTATCATAAAAACAATTAAAAAAAAACTGTAGCAAAAATTAAACTTACAGTAATTGCATGGGAAACCGCTTGTGAAAAGATTCAGCGTGTCGTTAAGCCTCTTTGTTGTTGGCGAACTAAAACTTGAATGTTGATCAGCGACATCTTTAAGCCTTACAGTATCTTCTTCAGCAATCATTACATATACACCACTATCCTTAAGTTTCTGAGCTGCTTCTTCTACATCTGAGTTCGAATCAGAATATGTACCGTCTTTCAGCATGATCAATATGTCACTTACATCTGACCGTGCTCCATTTTCTTCTGTAAACATTGTTCCTCTTGCAAAATCAAACGCTTCTTCTGTGTTTATTGTCCCATAATATGTTGATGATATGGTGTCTAATTCAGAATCTACTTCCGTGTTTGATGTGGCTGTTTTAAAGTCAAAGAGCAATGTGACCTGTGAACTCATAGTGGCAACTGATATTCTGGTTTGATAAGAAGCCACATTCAACGTGTTTGTTATACTTTTGAAGAAAGTAATTATATCTTCTAATTTATATGGATAATACGTCACATCGATAAGAAAAGCTATATCAAACACTTTGGGTGCACAACCTGTAACAATCACAAGTTTGACAATTGAGTAATTCTATTTCCATATATGAAGATATTTCATCATACATATTTGTTATACCATCTAGTTTATATATTATAAATAGAATACAAAATCATATTTCATGTAATTGTACTGAGACAAAAGTAAAGACTTCATAAACTAAGTATATACAAATGACAAAATCGCAAATCAGTATTCACTATTCTCAAAAACTTAAATCAATATTCACGTATCACAAAAACTTAAATCAGTTTTCACTAATCACAAAATCGCATATTCTTGAAAGCAAAATTTGTCAGGTACAACGTTGAAACTTGGATATTGACAGACTATTACTTTGCTCATTGTTGAAGGCCTTACGGTGACCTATAGTTGTTAATTTCTGTGTCATTAGGTCTCTTGTGGAGAGTTGTCTCATTGGTAATCATACCACATCTTCTTTTTCATAGATAGAAAAATATTCAAAAACAGGGAACATCATTGAAAACTTTAATTTCTGTTCTTTTCAATCAATTTGTCTTTGAGAAAAATACTCTATGCTTTAATTACGTTTTATAGATGCATTTGGATTTATTAAAAAAGAAGCATCTACAAATTTCACTGACTTTTTAACACAAAAAAAAATCATCATTCCTTGATTTAATTTGATAACTATATAACTAGCAAGACCACTACTACGCTTAAAAGATTCAAGAAGTTAGGCCTATCCAAAATTAGCGGTAAAAAATAGACACAATGAAATATATAAGAGTATGAGCATATGAAAATAAACTGAACCTTATCACAGGAACCTGTTGTTCAGTGGTTGTCGTATGTTGATGTGGTTCATAAGTGTTTCTCGTTTCTCGATTTTTATATTGATTAAACCGTTGGTTTTCCTGTTTGAATTGTTTTGCACAAGTCATTTTGGGGCCCTTTATAGCTTGCTGTTCGGTGTGAGCCAAGGCTCCTTGTTGAAGGCCGTACTTTGACCTATAATGGTTTATTGTGACTTGGATGGAGAGTTGTCTCATTGGCACTCATACCACATCTTCTTATATCTACTCATTTCCTTATGAGTATTCTTAATCAGGATAGTGAGACAGGAAATAAGAAAAAATTATAAAAGAAAGAAAGACTTGTAACATATAAACTAAAATCGTCTTAAAGCAAACAAAAAAGGTGACTACAAATAAAACACAATACCATAAAAAAAATTTGAACGAGTGTACCTAAAGTTAAACTTAAACTAGGAATCGAACACACAGAGAAACAAACATGCAAATTTACTGATCCTTTGAAAAAAAGTTATTTGTTTTTAATAAAAGATAACTAAATATGTTGCTATAAATTCATGAAATTTTATAATTATACACCTAATCATACCATTTACTTTCATTTTGCATTGCTCAATTGAAAA